AAGTGCAGAGAACGCAGCAAGGACGTTCCCCATCAAACGATATTTCTCCCCTTGTCTTTCTTGGTTTTGGCAATTTGTCCCTCCCCCAAAGACGCAGCAAGGACCACCGATATTCTTTCCTTAAGAACATCTTTATTAGGAGTCCTTAACAATATGTTTTTAGGAAAAAAATTATTTAAAATTACATGGACCCCACCCAAAAAGAAGAAACCAATCAAAAAATTATAAAATAATAATCGATTTTCACTGGTTTTTTGAACTGATTGCAGGTCCCACTAACACATGGTTTACGATTGATTCGCCAATTTTTTTTTAGCAAACAAATAATAAAATATTATAAAAAAATTTCCTATGAAACCGTGTCGCGCCGTGTTAAGGAGTCACAAATGCTGGAATGCTCTTAATGAGACAAAATTCATTCTGTCATACTCTTACTCATTCTCACATATTCCTCTCCGTTCTGATACTCTCCATATGAGTGGTTAATATCGAAATTGCCCCTCCCTACTTGACCAAATTAATGACCAATCAAAATCGGTCAAAATCGAGAATCCTCAGAATTATTTTTATTTCCAAATCGGGAGTGATCTGTTTTACTCTCTCATCCGCGGGATTCGTTTCTTTCTTCTTCTTCGTCATTATCATCGCTTAGGTCGGTTGAATTCATCCGTTTGGATGTTGAATCATTGAGCTATTGATTTCGTTGACAGGATATGTATCTTAAATCGTTCCTAACTCGTCGTAACCCAATGTTTAGAATCCACCATACACGATCGATTTACAAAGATTGATTCCAAATTATAATTCTAATTGGACTAGAGTAATTGAGGATCGGAATGTGTGAATGGTCTGTCTATTATGGAATTGGATAATTAACAACTGTAATCATAAGAAAAAGAAAAGATAGAACGTCGGGAATCCAAGCCGATAACTATTAAAACGATTTGAAGAAGACGAATAGCTAGAACTAGAAAAGTTGGGAAAAGTTTGGAAAATTTGGGAAAGTTGGGAAAAAATGGAAAAAGTTGGTTACTGACAAAACTGTGTAACAAGGTATAACTTCGTATAACTAACATGTTATAACTGTATAACCAGGAATAAATCAGGTATAACTTAGTGGTTAATTTTTTTTTAATTGCAGATGAGTCTTTCTTCTACAAACATACACTTTGATTGTGATGGACATTATTCTAAGTCTGGAGATAGTTATGAATGGATTCCAACCGATGGTCGTTTATATAGTATATCTTTTAGAACATCATCATTGGAGGAGATCACTTATTTGTTGTTGAAAGAGAGAATATGCAGGAAGATGGGAATATATCTGTTTACGAAGAGGCTGGAATTTGGTTACATTCCACTGGTAGTGGATTCTAAGAGATAATCATATATTTTAGATGATGAAGATGTGTTTATTTATCTAACATTGGTGGATAAAGAACAAAGAAGAAATATTTTTCATGTGGAGGACACCCAAGAATTGAAAATCGTTCAAATAACCGAGCAACTATCGAGAGTTAAGAATGAAAGCTCATGTAGTAGGAACTATGGTGAGTGTGAGAGTGGATATGGAGAAGAAGATAATGTGGGTACTGATTTGGAACATAAGGAACACAATGAACATCTCCACAAGAAACACTAGAGGAACGTTGAAAGGTGAGATTTATATTTTGTGTTGTGAAACTAAGTGAAACTTTATCCTTTACTGGTATAAGTACAATAGGTAGACTGAGGAATAGGATTGTATCTTTTAAACTTGTTACGAAAGTTCTAAGATGGTATTTTATGAGTTATTTTGGGTTGTGTTGATTATGATTTTATCACACAAAAAAAAAATCGTTGGTTATTAGTAATCATGATGTTATTACACTGTTTTCTTATATGTTTTTCGTTAATATTCACCTTGTCTCATTTGAAATCTTACTAAGTAATGAAATCGAGTTTATGTATACATGGACAAATGAGAAATGAATCTAGTATACAAAACATAACTGGTATAACCATAAAATCAGTCATTGTAATAGAGAAAAACCAAAATAAATGGAAAAAATTATAAAGTACAACTTTTATGTTTTCTGTAAAACTGCAATTTTATGAAACTTCAGTCACGAAAATACTAGGCTAAAAATTTCCCGTCCACAAGCTTTTCGAATTTTTAATTTCACTTTTCCCCCCTTCCCAATACTAAAACCCTTACTTCTGCGTTTTTCCACATTCTCTAGATTTCACTTTCTCTATCTTTCCTTTATCTCTCTTTCTCTCTCTCTCAACCAAAATCCCCCAATGTCGAACCCAATTACGCCTGCTTCATCTCCCACGACCGGTGGTCGGAGACGACGAGTAAGAACTCCGGGGATACCCAAGAGGTGTTGGTGCGGGGAGACCATCACCGAGCTCATCTTCAAACCCGGTCAAAATCCATATCGCCAGTATTATCGGTGTCTCGATTCGGCCAAAAAGAAGATAACGTCCGTTTATATTTAGTTATCAAAGGGTTGTTCTCTTAAATATTTTGAACAAAATGTTGGAATGTTGTAGCTCGAGAACGACGATCACGTCTTCAAATGGGTCGACGAAGCTTTCACCGATGAGATTGAACAGTTGGAGTACCAAGTTCGAATGCTAGAAGAAGAAGTTCAATTGCTTAAAGCAACGACAACAATAAGCAGTGAAGTTCCCAAAATAATGTTTAAGATAACGATGTTGTGTTGTCATCATTGTCGTTGTAGTTATCGGTCGAATTATGATGTACAAGTGATTCCTAAAGCTAGTGACTTTGTCAAACATTCTGTTTTGTCTAAGTTTTTTGTAATTTTTGCGAAGTTAAACATTATGTTTGTCTAAGTTTTTCCTAAGTTTCTACTAAGTTATGTGAACTTAAACTACTACGAAGTATGGTTAACTTAACTTATTGCGTTGGAGTAGAGATTAAATTGAGGGGTTATAAAATTGAATGCAAATGTAATGATGATCTGGTTTAATGTTGTGGGATTTAAATGAAGTGTAATGATGATCGTATGCGACTTTTAGTGTGAAAAATCGTGTCTTTCTTACTGAACTCAACTTGTTGTGTTGGGGTAATAAATCCAAAAATTATGGGATGAATGAGAAGGATCCGTCTATCAAATCACTCTTAAATGGAAGAGTTACAACTTGTAGTTGAGGTAATAAATCATTATTACACAAATTAAATTACTCTTCATTAATTATCCCTTATATTTCTTACTGAATAATATATTTATTTCTTAAAGGTTTACATAGTTTCATATATTTAGACCATTAAAATTGTTACACTATCTAAATTGTTAAATGTTTTCTTAATTTCATATATTTAGACAACCTAACTAAGCGATTTCATTTAGTTTCAAAAAGTTATTTATTTTTATCATTTAAAGTTTTACAAAGTTTTAAATCCAACGCATGCGGCTATTGCAGTCAGAAGTCGTGCCTTCTCGAGAATCACCCTTAGCTGCTGTGATAAAACAATCTTATCTCTTCTCCACTGTTATAATAGGGTTTATCATTTTGTCCAAATAAATAAAACGTTAATCTTTCTATTTACGTGATAAAACAAATATCTCACCATATCTAATTTGGTTTTTCTCTCTCCTTCCATACTTCACAAGATTCTCTCTAAGGTAGCACAGCAAACCATCTCCGGGACTTCGGTAGTGCAAGAGTTGCATTATCCGCCTTCAATCAAATTGGCAGAGAATAATACTTTAACAAATCTGCAGATCTAATTCACTTCAATGACTGGATTGATGAGATTAATGCTGTCAGAACACACATGCTTAAGTGCGACCAAGCCGGTAATCCACAGGCCATCTACATGCGAGGTATGTATGAGTTCTTCATCCTCCATTTACTTGATTAAGGAAGGGAAAAAATTCGTCTTGCTGGTGAGAAGAGATTTTTGTTAGCTAAGTACGTTGATGATATGCTCAACTTAGAATTTAGTGTTGATGATAGATGATTGGTTCACAACTTTCCTACTTTTACACGTGAGTTTGCTGATCAGATAAATCACATGCTCGCTAGTGAGGTATCCTCAGGTCATTGGGGTTACGAAAAACCACAGATCTTTATGTCTCTATTGGAAAAGATAGATGCCAACATCAGTTATAAATGCTGGTGCTCTGAAATTATACCATGCAATCGTTGTTGCTGGTAATGTGCAGTTTGAGACTTCCTCCATGATATTCATTTGACCGCTGCTCACTGGCCAATTAAAAATTAGAGATGAAGCATTTTCGTGTGTTTATAAGTTTTTTATAAGTATTTTATGTAAAATACATTTCTCTTAACTTAATCTATAGTTTTTATTTATTTTAATTTCAGTAGATATATCAGTAACATAATGCAAATGTATAACTATTTTTATATGTCTTGGATTGACTGTAATCAAAGTTGAATCGATGTGTAATCACTAAATATATCAATAACATATTGCAAATGTACATGATACAATGAAAATTAGTTGAAAGTTTACTAAGTTGTATAGTTACTACAAGTGTGGATTAGTTCAACTTAGATTACATTTACAGTTACACTAAGTTATATAATTACACAAAATTTCAGTAATTCTAAAGTTATGGACACTGGAGATCCGAGTTTTATGATTCGGATCTGGATGGTCCGTAAAATACCTCTGATTATCTTGTAGTTATTTGAATTTCTTTCAGTATTCTAGTCTTTTACTAAATTTTCCAATTTAAATAAAGATTTCGTCGATTTATTTGGGGTGAGAAGTATTTAAGAATAAAAATTTTCCGGAAAGAGTACTTGAGCATTTGATTAAAGGAAAAGTCAAACATTTGTTACTCAACCTAAAAAGGAGGATGAAACTCCTTTAAATAACACGTGTCTTCTCTAGTTAATGGACTGGGCCATAAGAAAAGTTGATCCGCCCATTATCTGGGTCCACCATTTTCGTTTCCAGATATGATCCTTTCAAAAAGTAAATTAAAGACCGTTTTCAAAATTAAACGACCAAATCAGCAATTTTTATATTTATTTCTGTGGCCACAGAAACAACACAAAACTAATCAGAATCCCCACAACGACGACGATGGCTTCTCTCGCGACTTCCATCGCCGGAACTGGAACCTCCAAGCTTCTCGTTTCATCTTCTTCAAACAGAAAAGGGTTTCCTGTAATCACCAATCAAAACTCGAGAGTCTTCTTCCTTTCCTCTAGACCGATCTCTAAAGCTGGGACCTTTCCCCGATCAGCGATACACGCTTCGAGCCAAGAGGAAGCCAAGTCTTCACCTTTCGCGTCCGTGGAAGCACCACCGGGTCTATACTCAGCTCAGACTTTCGATTTGACTCCTCAAAATGTCGACTTAGTCCTCGAAGATGTCAGGCCGTTCCTCATCTCTGATGGTGGGAACGTCGACGTTGTCTCCGTTGAAGACGGTGTTGTTTCTCTCAAACTCCAAGGTTAGTTTTGTTTTGAGTTTCGTTTGAAAAGAATTAAACTTTATTTGTATAAAGGTTGCTCGTCTGCATAATGATAAAGCTTAGACTCTCTTGAATTCTAGATTCGGACAAGAGACAGGAACTGTAGTTTTTTCTTATTGTTGATCTTGCTATAGTCTTTGGTTCTGTTGTATCTGTCTCCCTCTTATATTTGTTAATCCACGGTTCATCAGTCTCATACTCTTTACCACTAAAAATTGGTCTATCCTTAAATTGGTCTAAACGAAAACAATAAAAAATGGTCTACACACCCGCCTAAATAATATTTTTCTATAAGGCGCCTAACCACTACCTAGAGATTTCTAGAACATTGCTCTTTACAATAGCATCACACAATAAAAATTTCCAGCTTTCATGTGGGAGTGTAATAACAGTAGTAATAATCTTTATCTCCATTTTCCCTAATTAGGACAGAACAAATCTGTATAACATTTGACTTATTGCTGGTCTTGTTGTATACTGTGGTCTTTGATTCTGCTGTATCTATTTCTCTTTACAATAAACATCTAGCAATAGTGGCGCTCAAAACTTGCAGCTATCATGTGGGAGTGTAGTAGTCATTTATGAACCGTTCAAATTTAAAATGTTTCTTTCATGGTTTGGGTCTATAGCTCTAGCTTTTCGCCTTTTTAGAGGTCAAAGAGAACGTTTGGTGGAGCAATCATCACGTTACCCATGTTATGTAATTGAGCTTATGTTGACTTGTGTTGTTTTTTACAGGAGCATGTACTAGCTGCCCGAGTTCTTCAACAACCATGACGATGGGAATCGAAAGGGTACTCAAAGAGAAGTTTGGAGATGCTTTGAAAGATATTCGACAAGTTTTTGATGAAGAGGTTAAGCATATAACCGTAGAGGTGAGTGTGTGACAGTGTGAGGCTACCCTTTTAAGAAATTTGAGTATTGATTACTCTTTTTGATATATTAAACGGATTGGTTTTTGTTTATTTGCAGGCAGTGAATGCTCATCTTGATATACTGAGACCAGCGATCAAGAACTACGGAGGAAGTGTGGAAGTTTTATCAGTTGAAGGTGAAGACTGTGTTGTGAAGTACGTTGGACCAGAATCTATTGGAATGGGAATTAAAGCAGCGATTAAAGAAAAGTTCAAGGACATTTCTAATGTAACCTTTACAAGCTAGAAACTATATATACTTTGTAAAATAAATACAGCTGCTCTTTGTTTGAGGTGATTTCATTTTGTAATGTTCACATCAGTAGTAGTCCACATAACTGTCCTTGAGCCATCTTGCAAGGTTGATCAAGAACGGTGTGTAGACAAAGTAGCTTGTTGTTGACCAGGAAACACTTTTTATATTGTTTTTGTTTGAGGAAGATGCATGTATCAACACTCTTTTACCTGGCCAAAGATCTCTGTGTTTGCTTCTGTATAGTAGCACAGATGTAAGAAACTGTTAAGTCATGTTATGTCAATCTTTAAGACTTATTTTTTTAAAAGTCAAAGAGTGCTCTGTTTCATTCACTAACCATACAGAGTTATCACTTCCACTGTCCCTGTATGGTTTATCACTTCCACTGTCCCAAATTTGATTTGCTGTTATACACAACAAAAGTACTACTTACAAGTTACAACAATGAATTTATGATCCAAGATTTTTCGGTTTGGGTTTAGTTCTGCCTCTGCTGATTCATTCAAAGGATTTGTCAAACCGGTGACCGGTTTGGCCCATTTGGTTTTGATGGTCTGATGAGCTTGGCTGAAGGGGTATCGTTAAGACAAAACATGAAACATCTTCTAGTTGTCCTACATCGCATGTGAACCGAAACAGAAATTAATACTACTACAGTTATATACCAAAACTACAGTTAGTATTTACATAAAACGAATATAATTAATTAATAAAATTTGAGAAATATATATCTCGTGTCGAATTTTAGTTCGAATACGCAGTCGAATTTAAAAAATGCTAACTTGGTCAAGCTTGTTAAAGAGGCAAAGGTGAAATATATGTTATCTTATTAGTTATTAGTTTTCTACTTTAGTAAAAAAGCATAAGCTAGTTCCTTAATTTGGATTCCAATAGATAGTTAACGTAAATAGCTTTAACTATGAGTTTGACTATTTTGTCGTATATATTATTCCCATGCTCGAAACCGATCACAATAAAGCCTTTGCTAAGACAATGGCTCAGCACAAGAGTTTCTCTTCCTCTCCTCCATCTCGTTCTTCAGTTTTAAACCGTTACATCTCTCTCCTAAATGGTTTCCTCTTCATAGTCTCTATCCTCCTTCTCCTCGGTGTGTTCTTGCCCTGGTCAGGATCTGCCTTATTCCCGTTTCAAAACACAATCTCTTCTTCTTTGCCATCTAACTGGCGCGACTATTCCCTCTCTCAAGCGGCTGAGTTTGTCGCTAAGGACGGGACTGTGATCGTCTGCGCTGTTAGCTATCCCTTCTTGCCTTTCCTAAACAACTGGTTGATTAGCGTTTCTAGACAGAAGCATCAGGACAAAGTCCTCGTGATCGCTGAGGATTACGCTACTCTTTACAAGGTTAACAAGAAATGGCCTGGTCACGCCGTTCTCATTCCTCCAGCGCTCGATTCTCAGACCGCACATAAGTTCGGTTCTCCGGTAACAGTTTCACCTTTACGGTCCAAACCTTATGCTTAGTTCATGTTTTTATATTGGGATGAAAATTTATCTTGTTAACCAAGTTACCATATCAAAACTTTTAGGGTTTCTTCAACTTCACGTCACGGAGGCCGCAACATCTCTTGCAACTTTTGGAGCTAGGTTACAGTGTCATGTACAACGATGTCGATATGGTCTGGTTGCAAGATCCGTTTCAGTATTTAGAAGGAAGCCACGACGCATACTTCACCGATGATAGGACTACAGTATGTGACTTGTGCTTCACGTTTTAAAGTGTTTTTGTTAAATCTGATTCTCAGGTTGATTTTGGTGCCAGATTAAGCCTTTGAATCATTCTCATGATTTACCATTACCGGATCGAAATGGAGTGACTTATATATGTAGCTGCATGATTTTCTTGCGTCCCACGAATGGCGCAAAGGTTCTGATGAAGAAATGGATTGATGAACTTCATGCTGGTTCTAAAGCATATGAAGGAAATGATCAGCCTGCTTTTAATTGGGCACTTAACAAAACAGCTCACCAGGTATTGTTTATTCCACTAATTTCAATTAGTTCTGTTTCGTAATTTTCAATCAAGATTTTTGCGGTCCAACATTATCTACCTTTTGGTACTCTCTTTGACTTCTTATATAATTCCTCTAATCTACTTATGTATGCACGATTACATTTTTGTCATAAATTTCACTTTGTTTGAATTCATTCTCTACTCTTTGGTGAACTTTCTGCAGGTAGATGTCTACTTGCTTCCTCAGGCAGCTTTTCCAACAGGAGGATTGTACTTCAAGAATGAGACATGGGTTAAAGAGACGAAGGGGAAACATGTCATAATCCATAACAACTACATTATTGGTTACGACAATAAGATGAAACGCTTCCAAGACTTTGGTCTATGGCTTGTGGATGATCATTCTCTTGAGTCCCCACTCGGAAAATTAGAGTGAACTTGAATTGTTTGTTATATGTGAATGTTAGTTATATGGCCAATTCAAAGCAGAGGTAAATAAATGAGACCCGAGATATGTATGTCTCCACATTACTAGAATCAATAATAGGTCTCTTTAGAGACAGAAGAATAGTGTTCCCCTTGTTTTTGTCACTGGAAGAATACTGTTCCCCAGTATCATACTTCCATAGTCTTCACTGACTCCTGCTTATGTATAATGTTTCGAATGGATAACACATATAAAAAAATGCAGATCAAAGAGAAATGCAGATCAAACAGAACAAATACAGATCATGCAGATCAATCAGAACAAATGCATATCAAGTTATTTCCATACATTATTATATTTAAATAAATATTATTTTTTAATGAAAATTAAATATCTAAACACAATACATATGATTATAAATAAGTATAAATATCATGTAGACAAAATATCAATAAATACCATCATTTAAATAAGTATGGTAAAATTTAAATTATATAAAAATTCATCATAATTACAGAAATTATGAAGAGTATTCTTGTTTTACTCTTATTTTTTTCTATCTTCATTTGATTTTGGTTCTTTCTTACCATTTGGTTCAACTATAAAACTAATATTGTTATTTTTATATATCTTATTTTATTAACAAAAATCTTTATTTTAATTTTCAAAATATAAAATGCATAAAGGTATATGCAAGAACGAAAAAAATACGTTTAATATTTTCTTGATATTAAGTAATTATAAAATTATATGAAGTTAAATTATGAGTTATCAAATATGAAAGTATATGCATAAATTTATAAAACTAATTTATATAAAAATATTTACTACTTTTTGAATATATAATACATGATTTTTATTGATCATGTATTTTAAAAGGATACAAAATATTAAAACGTAACAATTTATAAACAAAACAAAATTGTATTTAAGTTATATTACAAATCATCAGGATACTAATTTATTTTTGAAATAATAGTCATGATTTTCACTGCTTATATATTTTGACAAGATACAAAATAATATGTATAACTACATGTGTATATATAATCTACATATGTATAATTTTCTATAAGCATATTTATAGAAATTAATATAAATAAAGTAACATTTATTTTACGTATCATTGTATAAAATATTAAGTGCTTATAAAACAATTATTTCAAACATGTTAATTTCTATGATTCATTGAAAGAACTAATTATTTATAATTTACCTAGGTTTTTGAATTTTTGAATGAATGTAGATATACGAATCAACTAAAAATATAAAAGAAGTAATTAAACATATTATAAAAATACTGATTTTGTTAAAATATAAAATTAAAAAAAATCATGTATATGTAAATATTTTTAAATAATAATTTAATTTTATTTAAGTAATACTAAATATAGATTCTAACTTATTTGTAATCAATAAAATAAAAAAATTATATTAGTTATAGATAAAAGACTAAAACGAAAAAGAAAAAATAAAGAGAAATGATGTCATTGGTCACCTGCTTCTTGTCCGTCCCCTTTCTTTCCTCTTTAGCTACAGATCAAAAAAGCAACAACAAAGGGTGTGAATGTTAAACAGGACAAAGACAGTAGAGATGCGGGAGAGTTACCACTGCAGTCCTATCTGCATTTTATGTCCATTCACAATAAATTTGCATAACAAAATAATAATGATAAAACATTAAATGAACCGTATGCGGATCCATTTATGTGTAAAAAAAACTGTACTGCAAATAAGAAGAAAAAGGTGTCTGGTCGAATGCTGAGGACCAATGGGTGATTTTTGTTTTTCTTTTATCTATAAATTTTATGTATAGTTTTTCTTTTTGCTGTAAAACCAAATAATAAAACTAAACATGTTTATAATACATATAAGTAAAAAACATATATGATATAAATTATTCTGTTGATGATGATTAACATAGATAAAATAATTACAGTATTGTACAATAAATATAAATTTAAAATATTTTCATTTCTCATACTTCAGTAAAAAATTATTGTTAAATTAATTATTTATAGAAATAATATGTAATATATATTATCTTCTATAGATATGAGTATAGAAAATTATATATATTTAATGTGTACGTTCATATTTTTACAAAAATAAATTGCAGTATGTTTTTTTGCAAAAAACAAAGTTTCAGTATGTTACACATGTTAATTTGTATCCTTTTAAAATATCTAATCAATAAATATCACATATTATATACTTGAAATTAGTTAATATATTCATTGATTAGTCTAATAAATTTATGCATATATTCTCATATCTGATAAGTAATATTTTAACTGCATATAATTATAAATGTTAATGGTTATTTATAAAATATCAAACATATTGTTTTGTTCTTATATGTATATGTATGCATTTTATATTTTAAATGAAGATTTTATTGATATAAGAACATATATAAAAATCGACAATATTAGTTCTATAGTTGAACGACATGCAATATTATATTTAATTAATTTTAAATCTTATATTTTATATAAATTAGTTTGATGAATTTATGCATACTATTAATAATTTATATATTAACTAGAGATACATTTGAATAGTTACTTTCAGAATCACCTAATACATTTAAACAATGAATAGTTTTTATAAGTTTTGTAATTTTGATGATCTTTCATAAAATTTAAATTTCACTATATTTATTAAAATGATAATATTTTTATTTTTTAATATGATATTTATTTCTTATATATTATAAGTTTTATTTTATTTTATTTTTAAGTTTTATGAAAATAAAATAATTAATGAAATATAATAATTTATTAAATTAGATTGATATGCATTTGATCTGCATGATCTGCATTTGTTCTGCTTGATCTGCATTTCTGTTTGATCTGAATTTTTTGATCTGCGTTACCCATTCGAAGAATCATCTGCATGATGTACTTTATATTTTTATTATTTTTGTTGGTTCTGTATTTATTTGGTGAATGGGTACAAATTGTAGTTCTTTCTGCATCTAAATTTCTTCTGCATTTGTACTGCATTTGTACTGCTATACATTCAGACCCAATGATTCTTTACAACAAACCATACTATATTTTTCTCAGAAAAAAACTATATTAAAAACATCACACCAAGAAAAAAATATTATGTAGAAAACAAAAGATATAAAATTAATATATAATGTATGTTGAAAAACCTATGTCAAAATAATAGATAATATATATAATTTCTTATATAGTAAAAGATAAGCATTACAACATTTAAAGTAATTACGTGTCATCACCACAATGATTATTAGAATCTTTAGAGAAATAGATTCGTCTGTCTAAATATATAATTCATTTTTTATTACGCTAACCATAAATTAATTATTAAGGTTCTGAATTTTTTCCTTGAATAAAAATTATGGAATTAACTAATGTGGCTAAAGTATATATGAAAATAAATGACATTGAATAATATAGATTTGCTACAAATTAGTGTACCTCCTATATCATTTTTGAATAAGTTTAAATTATTTAAATAATTTAAATAACCAAAGTAACTATATAATGAAAATTTTAATTTTTTCATATATGTTATATTTAGATTTTTAAAAAGTCTCACATTGAAATTCTTATGATTCCATGATTTAAATTTTGTTTATGACAAGATACAAATGATTACAAAATCATATACACTATCAAAGTAAAAGATATATATATATATATATATATATATATATATATATATATATATTAAGTTAAACTATATAACATAGAAAATATTTTAATCATGAAAGTTTATTTAACATTTTTTTTACTAAAATATTGACAACTTAATATTACATTTTAAATTATGCACTGAATATTTTTTTAGAATTATAAATTGCTAAACCTTTTAAACAGCACACAATGAATATATATATATATATATATATATATTAAAGAACATATAATACAAAGATATAATTTAAATATACAATTTCATTTTGCGTAAGGCGTGAATCCTAACCTAGTGTATGTTATTCTGTATATTTATATTAATGCATAGAATTGATGTGAAATAGCACAAAAACGAAACGTGTAACATTTGTTTCATTTTTAAGACGTAAACTGATATGGTAACTTTCAGACTTACAACAATTTATTTTTGAAAACTTATATACTACAATGTAGACTATGTGCACATCTTTAGAATAAGATCATTTCTATTGTCATCTATAAAGTCTAAACTGTGTATATAAGGTAAAATCTTAGTCCCTGAGTCAAATTTGAAGCCCATATAATATTTAAAAAGAATCTTTACCAAATTTTAAAATATTTCCATATTTTCAGATTTTAGATAAATCATAACACCATGTCTCCATTTTCTGTTCATCTTCCTGGTGCAACAATGGAAAAGCAAAAGCTTTTCTCTTCGGCCTCTCCTCTTTCTCATTCTTCAACATCCATCCTCAGCCGAAACGGTCTCCTCCTCCTTATCACTCTCCTCGTTTTCCTGGGTGTGGTCTTACCCTGGGCAGGATCTCCCTTGTTCCTGTTTCCAAACAGTACATACTCTCCATCTTCTTCTTTGCTCTCCAACTGGCACGACTATTCCCTTGCTAACGCCGCCAAGTTTGTCGCTAAGAATGGTACTTTGATCGTATGCACCGTTAGCTACCCGTTCTTTCCTTTCCTCAACAACTGGTTGATCAGCGTTTCTAGACAGAAGCATCAGGACAAGGTTCTCGTGATCGCCGAGGACTACGCTACTCTTTACAAAGTCAATTCCAAGTGGCCTGGCCACGCCGTTCTGATTCCTCCAGCTCTTGATTCTCAAAACGCACACAACTTCGGTTCCCAGGTATGGTTTCACCATTTAATTCCAAAAAAAAGGTTATGGTTGATTGGTTTCACCATCATTGCATAAGCCCATGCATATTATAGTCCCTCCATTCCCGAAAGTAAGATTTTCTAGATTATTTTCTCATTCTGTAAAAATAGATGTTCTTTAATTTTAATGCATTATGTATACTTTTAAAAAACATTAAAAAGAATATTTGAATTGATTAAATATCATTGGTAGATAGTTATAGAAAAATGTATAATAAAATAAATAATAAATTTATTGTAGATATTTATTGGATCTTACTATATAAAGCTTAGTTTTCAAAGTTACTAATTAACATGATCGCGACATATGTTGATTATATATTTAAGATTATGACATGTGTTAAATAACAATTTTTCTTTTAAAAACTTAAACGAAAAGAATTTAATAGTTAGTTTTAATTTTTTAAAAATCTTAAACATAACTTTAAAAAAGTTAGTTTCTTTTTTTTTAAACAATCTTAAACAAAAACTGTAAAATTATATTTCCATATAAATACTATTTAATAATAGTATTTTTTAATGTTACTAGTTAAGATGATTATGAAATATAGAAATTATATATTTAAAATTATGACATGTGTTAAACAGCAGATTTTATTTTTTTATTTTTAAAACTTAAACCAAAAGAATATAGAAACAATCTAAAAAGTTAACTTTCATTTTTTAAATTTTTTCTACAAATTTTTTGTTTTTAATATTTCCATATAAATAAAATTTTAACAGTGGTATTTCTTTTTTAAAACATAGGTTTAAGATAATTACAAGCTTGGATGTTCAAAATTACTAATTAATACAACTGCGGTACATAGAAATTATATATTTAAGATTATATATGTGTTAAATAACAGTTTTTCTTTTTAAAAAAAACTTAAACCAAAAGAATACAAAAATAATCTAAAAGATAATTTTCCTTTTAAAAAATTCTCAAGAAAAAGAAAACATATCATTAAATAAAGTCTGTATAATATTTTTCCATTAAAAATATTTTTAAATAAAGTTACAATAACTTACAATAACTTCTTAATGATTGTGATTTCAGCTCTATGACAACATACACTAATACAATTTATTATATATTATTTATTATAGCTTTGGTCGCCATAAAACTTTAATTGGTAATTTATATTCATAAATCATTATTTAGAAAATAAGGATTCAAAAACATGGTCTTCACAACATACATGTTTGTGGATACAAGAATTAAAGTAGTATTGTAATGCATAATGTATTAATAGTTTCATTACCTATAGATTACATGATACAAATGTTGATCCAATATTTTTTCTTAGTTAAACAAATAAGACAGTTTTCAATTCACCTATAGATTCATTAATATATTTATTTTGAAATAGTGAAACTGTATTATAAAGGTAGATTTGCTTAGCTGTATGATTTTTTAGTAGAGTTTTATTTTTTATTTTTAGAGAAATATAGAGTAAGACTATTTTGTCTCCAAATATGTAGATGAAATTTTATTCACTACATTTTCTTTTAAGGTACAAAAATTCTATAAAGTGCATATATTGTCACTGATTCGATTGCCTTGATTCTATTGTATTTTACTCTAATTCATATTTTTCCAGGGCTAGATTCAATTTAAATTTTTGAGTTTGGATTTTTGCTCTACCACTAATTCAAAATTGTTAATAACTGTTTATGCACTATGATTACTGAAACATAGCCGACAAAAAAATATATTACTCAAACATAAATACTAACCAAAACTTATGTAGAAAAACAATTTTTATTCCTAAAATAAATTTCACGCAATATATGCGAAAATTCAACGATTGCAATTTTTTCTTCTTCTCATTTTTATGCATCATGAAATTAAAACATCAACTGAAACTCGTGGAAGGTATATATATAGGGCTAGGTTTTAGACACCGGATCTTATCAAAGTAATGATCATCTATTTATGTTTAAATAATCACGCTTTTTAATCATAGTATCTGAACGTTGTTATAAAAAGAGAATATAATATGGTTTCTTGATATAAAACCGAAAACCAAATTAGATATCTTATGGTTCTAATATGATAACTAATTTTTATAAACCGAAAAATCCAAACCGGAATCGAACCAAAATCCAGAATGTACCTACTTAATATTTAGTAAAATATATTATTAAATATTAATGATTTTCCATGGTTCATGCGGATTGTTGTTGTTGTTGTTTTTTTTTTTTTTTGCAATTTTTTAAAAGTTGTTTGTGGTGGTTTTGTAGTTGTTCGTATTTGTATGCATTGTAAGGTTGAAGTATTAGTGATGTGGAGTTTTTTGGTTGTATGTATGTGAATGTGTTTTTTTTTTTTTTTTTTTTTGTGAATGTGTTTTGGATTGGTATTTGTAAGATATTTGGGACCCTGTGTCTTTTTGCCTATCTTTTTTCTATTTTATGTTTTAAAAAAGATATTTGGTTATTTTATTTATATGACTTTTTCGTACCGAAGCGAAGGTCTGAACAGAAGGGGAAGCAAATTAATAATGTTGAACGTTGGTTTTGCTGGGAAGATTTTTGTTGTCGGGTATTAACGTATACGTTGGGGGTAATTGTCAGGTTAGATCAATTCTAGGTTTTTTTTTTGTAAATGCTTGTTCTTAATATGCCTGAGTATTTTAGAAAATCTTTCTTTTAGTCTATGACCAGATTAAAAATTTTGGAGGCCATACACACTTTTAATTTTAATTAGTCTTAATTAAAAAAATAGACAATTTGGAGATCATGTGACAAATCTATAATATCTCTTTAAAATTTGGAGGCCAAGATGAATGCTTCATTCAGTTCATGTGCCTAGAACCGGCATTGATTTATATCTTAGTGTTCTTGGTCCCTTTACACTTTTGTAGTAGGATCCTAATACAACATGGTCGACTTGTGGATGTTGTAGCTAATCGTTATGTTTATGTATGTGTGCAAAGAACTTGCACTGCGATGAAAACGTATCTTGTCACTGATTTTTATTGTATCTGATTAGGGTTTCTTCAATTTGACATCTCGAAGACCAGAACATCTCTTGCAACTATTGGAGCTAGGTTACAATGTTATGTACAACGATGTTGATATGGTCTGGTTGCAAGATCCATTTCCGTATCTAGAAGGAAACCATGACGTGTACTTCACGGATGACAAAACTGCAGTATGTGATATATACTTACTTACACATATCCTTGACATGTTATGCGATTTGTTTAGTATTTTTTTTTTTTGGTTTTGGTGTTTAGATTAAGTCTTTGAGTCACTCTCATGACTTACCACCTCCGGGTACAAACGGGGAGACTAATATATGTAGCTGCATGATATTCTTACGTCCAACTAATGGTGCAAAGGTTCTAATGAAGCAATGGATTAAGGAACTTCATGCGCAACCTTGGTCTAAATCAAATCAAGGAAATGATCAGCCTGGTTTTAACTGGGCACTTGGCAAAACTGCTCATCAGGTATGATCTTTTAGCTCATCATGACTCCTCTCATCTACTTATGAATGTTCTTGTGTCAACTAGGTGGATGTCTACTTGCTTTCACAAGCCGCGTTCCCGACAGGAGGAGTGTACTTCTGGAACAAGACATGGGTTAAAGAGACAAAGGGGAAACATGTTATAATCCACAACAATTACATTGTTGGTTTCGACAACAAGATGAAGCGTTTCCGCCAGTTTGGTCTGTGGCTAGTTGATGATCATGCCCTTGAGTCCCCATTGGGAAAACTAGAGTAAATTTGAATGTATCTTGTTATGTGTATGAATATTATGACTTTTTAAAACATGAAACACAGATATGGTACAAGGACAACATAGATACTAGTTGATTCATAATCGGACAAAGAACATGAGTTACATGACAAGATACTTTACTCATACCATAACAAAATGTATTTAGACTTTCTGAAACATAAGTAGTTATGGTTTTGATCTAGATGGTGGAGTTTGACCAACTTAGTCTCTCTATGACACAAAGCATAACAGCTTCAAGGAGACATTGTTGATCCTCACCAGTTACCACATGTTTTGCAGATCAAATCTAAACATCTAACTCAGCAATTGGCTTAAAGATCAACAAAGCAATATGGTTTCAAAAAGACAGGGACTACATGCTTTTATTAGGAACAAGAGGTTCGATGTCTGAGAACCAAGAAAGGTGTTTCTGCATCATTCATGTACAGTTTAAACACACATCTTGATAAACTCAACAACAAAAAGGAAACTAAACACTCCATTGATTTTATTATTACCAGAGCCATTCTTGAGCTCGTGTTTGTTCCTAAGATGACGAAAGAATGTCACCAGTCATCTTCTCTGCTTGTTCTCCACGCTCACCTGTCCGAACCCTTATGACATCTGACACAGGCAAAACTGCATACAACCCAAACAAGAAACAATTACAAATCTGAGTAAACTTCATTGTCATGTATAAACACATAAAATGATGGTTATGGTTACCGAATATTTTGCCATCACCGATCTCTCCTGTCCTTGCTCCTTCGATAATGGTGTTGATTACAGACTCCACCTGCATAACAAGAAGAACATAAATGGTTAGAATCTTAAATTTTTTGGTTTATTTATAATATACGTACTTGGTCTTTCTTAACAACGATCTCCATCTTAACTTTAGCAACGAACTTGTCTTCAGAGAACTCAGACCCTGCAAAACTCAAACAACTTGTATCACACTTTTTGACAAGTAAGAAGAAACAGCAGTGAACCTGTTTCTTGAACTCAATAACTTACCACCATGTCTCTCAGTGGATCCACCTTGTGCACCAAACCCTCGGACATCAGATACCGTAACACCTCGAATCCCAATTTTCAGTAAAGCCTTTGAGTAATTATGAAAACAGAGAAAGTCAAGATTTAGCTGAATTTTCACAAGTAGTTACTACTAATTACCAGTGTTCTAAAAATCGGTCTAGACAGCGACTAATCGAACCTAAATGAAACGTTTTTCTATAACATTTTTTTAAAGACGGTCTAGGCGCCCACCAAATCAGTAATTCCATATAAAGCGCCTGACTAACTATTTCTTAAACAACTTAGTTACTACTAATCTGTATGTTAAAACAAAGTATCTACAATAAATATAAGAACCCTAAGCCGTTTTCACATATGCAAACACTGGAGGAAAAGACATTACCAGCCCTATTGGGTTCAGCTACATATACTTTGCATGCATTGATATGAACTTCTACTATATACTTATTTAATACCAAAGTGTGACACAAACTTTTCGATGCCAAGACTCTTCTTCGATCAAGTGATTTAGCAAAGCTCAAATCTTCTTTTTTTTTCACAAATCAAAGCTGAGAAGTAGGAGAATTTTCTTACCGACGAAACTTGCTGGATTCTCCATGGCCTTATAACATGACAGTGAAGAAATGTATTAGTTATATATAAGTCTTTCTCAGACATAGACAAAGACTTAGAAGCTCACCTGACAATTGCTTCAACCTTGTAAAACTTCGAGTCTGGAATATAATCTACAAAAAAAAAGGCTATGAACACATACAAAAAACAAGCTCAGAGACCCGTCATTGTTGGGCTTACCATGAGAGCTTTGGGCTCTAACGATATGGGAGAAACGAGTTTTGGTCGGGGGTTTTGCGACCAAATCGAGGGAAGATGTTGGGGAATGTCGGAATCCAGAAGATATGGAGATGCAATCGGAGAAAGAAATGTTGGTCTTTGGATTGAAATGGAAACGGAGAGGAGTTGCAGAGATGGGTTTTGCGATTGAAGCGGCCATGATGGTTGTTGAGAGAAGTAAAAGTTAAAAGAGTGTTTTTCTCCTTACCAAACTGATTTCCACCGTGGAAATAAGCGGAGGAATATGGAAAGGAACTTCGAAGTTGACGAAGAGCCGGTTCAGGAAATACCGGTTTGGTTACATTTCTAAAAGTTGACTAATATTCGGTTTAGCTGATACTGGTCAACTCCAACCAACATAACATTATAAACAATGTAATCATCTCATAACATTATTCACATTACTAAACATTAAAAATTATACTTATTTAAAATTTTATAAAAAATAGTTACTGCTAATATATTATATTATACTATTTTTAAAATTGGTATTATAACTTTAATAGAAAATCAGAATCGACTAACTATTTAAAATGTAAATCAAAATTTTGATGGTATTAAAATGAAAATATACTATTTTAAGTTTTATCAGAAATAAGCACCTAGTGATAAAAATTAACATCACTCATTTTACAAACAAATCTAAGCTAATATAATTCTGAAACTCTAATCTCATCCTACCTCAAAATAATAAACCATAAATCTAAATCATTGTACCTAAAGTCAAATAAAATATTTTTTAATTTTTGATTGGTCTTATTGTGAGAAATTTTTTGGTGTGTTATTTCTTTTGAAGAAAATGTGTGTTTAATGATATTGTAAAATATTTTTCACTATAATATTAAATGATTATTTTAACATTGAATTTATTATTGCTGTTAGAATTGCTCTAAATTTATAAGAAAAAAAAAACGGTTTAGCTGATAGTATTTTGGTCTAGTTGATACCGGTCTGGTTACATATCTAACTTGATGAAGAATCGGGTTTAGCTGATACTGGTTTATTGAATCGGTCTCTCGATTAAAAATCCCTTTTCTTTTAATCGTCTTCAAAGTTTCTGAGTTTTCGATACCTTCTTGGAAAATACAATATTCCTCCAGGGGTCGTGGAAAAGAAAATGGCAGGTGAAGATTTCATATACAGAATCAGCACGGATCAAGAGTGGCAAGAGTTTCAGAAGAATGGATCTTCTTTTGGTGGAGAGCTCGACAAGTCAACTGGTTGCTTTCATCTCAGCAAACTCAATCAGGTCTCTCTCTCTCTCATAAAGATCTCCACTTTCCCATCTGGGTATCTAAAAAGTCAACACTTTTATCATGAAAATTGTTTCTCTGGTTTGATATTCCAGGTGCAAATGACGTTGCAGAACTTCTTCTTGAATGCAAAGGAGGATCTTTACCTTCTTCAAGTCGACCCTAACAAGGTTTGTTCATTATACATGTTTTTGACACATACATGATATATATGTGATCATTTGGGATTAAAATAATAAATAGATGAACCACTCACCAAACTAGACGATCCTTAAATACTAAATGGTCAGATATTTATAGGTGAGTCATGAGTGTTCATCTATTAAAACGTTAGTTTCTGGCGTGGTTAGCTCCACGTTTAGATGAGCTATTCACGAGAAAAAGCAAGAAACTTGCTAACGCTGTCTTTGTCATAGTGTGTACTCCGTGATGTTGCTTGATGCTAAGTTCTGTCTCTTCGGTTATTCACGTGAGATCCTTACCAGAGTCAGTGTCTGTAATAACACTGCACTGGAGGGCCACACAAAGTTTGAATTCATATAGTATGTACAATAAGTACATTATAGTGCCGAGAAGACAATGCGCCAATGAATTTATACTGTGTTTGTTACATGTGTAAATTGCAGCTTGGAGATGGATTGATCTATGAAGCTGTGGATAATGTGAATAGCTTCCCTCACTTCTACGGTCCAGACAGAACCTTTGTTCCACTTCCTCTAGATTCTGTCGTCAAAGCTGAGAAGCTAACACTCACCAATGGCAATTTCACTTGCAGCTTCTTCACTTAATAGATCTCTTAACTCTATATATATAATCACTTCACTGTTTTTATGTATTGCATTGTAACAATTTAAAATTCACCAAACAAAAAACAAGGGGAAAGTATTAATATTATTATTATTACAATGCAAGATTAAGATCTAAAACATTCTCTTCTCTTGTCGTCTCCTTCTCTGTTTCTTCTTCTACTTCTTGTTTCTCCTTCTCAGTGGTGGAGACAATTGAGTTTGATGGCTCTAAGTTTAAGTCTATACAGTGAGAGAAATCCTCGGCACGGAAGACAGGAGTAGCAATGCCGGATTTATCTCCGTTGTCGGATCTCTTGGTCGGATTCGGAGCAGTTTCGCCGGAATCTTCGATTAACTCTTGTCGTCTTCGTTTCCTGGCCTCCTGGTAGTTTCTTATGAGATTGAAGAACATCTCCATCTTCTTGTCTTCGTCTTCTTCAGGGACATCGATCTCGTTGTTGATTCTCTTGCTCTCTTCTGTCTCTTTGTTCATTGTCATTCGAAAGGGGGAAGAATGGTGATTTAGGGCTTCGAGGAGAAGCATTTATTGTGTGAGTGAGAGGATGTTACCAGGTAATGAGGCTTTTTAGTTAAAAGACCAAATTGCCATTTCTAACTTCTTTGGATTATTAACACAACCGTCAGAATATATACGCCATAATTTTGATTACCGCTAACTTTTATAACTTCATACTAAGGGCATATGCAATGGTGTTCCCACCCATGAGTCCTTATGAATATTATAGTAATATCTTTTGTTTTGGTTTTTTTTGGAATAGTTAGGGATTCTTATTTAAAAGTGAGTTTCCAATGGTGTTACCGACGACAGAGTCCTTATGAATTTAAAAATAATATAATTTTCTTTCTAAAACTGAAATTTAAATTTTATTAATTTCATTATTAAAAAATTTAAATTTAAAATTTATTTTAAATTTAAAACTGAAATTTAAAAATAAGATAATTTTTTTGAAAACTGAATTTAAAAATAATATAATTTGTTTTGAAAACTGAATTTAAAAATAATATAATTTTTTTTGAAAACTGAAATTTAAATTTAAATTTTATTATGAATTTAAAAATAAATTTTATTAATTTCATTATTTAAAAAAAAAGATACAATAGTTAAACATAAAGTGATTTTTTTTTTTCTCAATTGATCTAAAATGATTTTTTTTTTTCATAAACCAAAGATAAACACACCATAAGCCGACACGTGTGCTAAGGATCAAGTCCTTCTAAACCCTTATATTAGGATTGATCCGTCAATATTTAAACCACAATTGATTATAATAATCATCTTAAACCCAAGGATTAGCCACAAGGATCGGCTACGTTCTCCCGTTGCGGACGGCCTAATAATCATTCAACGATATATTTTCGTTATTGTAATAATAATAAAAGGTTAATCAAAGGGTTTTCAAAAAAAATTGAAGATCTCATTGTTGAGTTTGACTTGACTACATATTTAAAGATTTATGAACTCAAATTAATAACCAACGTAAAAAACTAGGGCTGGGACTTAATATCCGCTATCCGCTATCCGATCCGGGATCCGATCCGATCCGCTCCGAAAAAACAGATATCCGGGGGGTCCGGATCCGGATCCGGATAGTGATTTCACGGATCCGGCGAATCCGGATCCGAATCCGGATAGTGAAATTTTCGGTCCGGATATCCGGATCCGGATCCGGGCCCATTAAATATTTTAAAAAATATTTAAAATATAATTATATTTATATAGTATATTATATATTTTTTATTAAATATAACTAATACTTTATTTTTTAGTAATTTCTATTGTTTTAATTTAACTTTTTTCCAAAATAATATTTTTTAATAGAATAAATAAATACTAAACTTTTAATTTTTAATGTTTTTTTTTTTTAAATAAATCAGATCCGGATATCCGCGGGTATCCGAGTTTTAGTCCGGATATCCGGACCCCGGATATCCGGATGGCCCGGATCCGAATCCGGATAGTAATTTTACGGATCCGCCGAATCCGGATCCGAATCCGGATATCTTAAAATACCCCGGATATCCGATCCGTCCCACCCTTATAAAAAACAATGTCAATGGATTAAAGATATACTTTTCAGACAAGTTATTCGCATATGTCTTGTTCTAATTTAATAAAAGTCCGGTTATCAACTATTCAAATTTATAATCGTGGAAAACGTGACCAAGGGCAAGAAAGTCAAAAATATTTTCTTCTTTAAGTCAAACAAATTACTATTTTAACAGCTGACCAAGTCACGCCCACGTCATAATGATTATTTTATATTTCAAAATTTGTTTTTTCTCTCTGTCAAAAGAAAGACAATCGAACTTGATTTGCTAGTTATGCTTCAATGCGTGTTTACTTTTTGTTTGGTTGCAAGGCTTGCCTGAGAAAGATTCGATCTAACGTATCAAATTGAATGCTATATATTCCATAGTTCAAACTTAAATATTGCAAGCTCAAATCAACTCGCTGAAACGTCAACGTGCGACCAAAACAGCATGACATAGTCTATTTCACTTACGTGCTCATATAATAATCAAAACCGAATCAAATCACTGTATTCAACACTTTCCTAAAAGACCACCTAACAATAACATTGAAAGATCCGATTTAAGACAAGAGATCGAAGGAACAGATAACTCATCCACGACCCCATACACATTCCAACAGAACGGTTCCACAGTTTTTTCACCTTTTGAAGGTACCAAATCAATATCCGAGAGTGTTAAATTTGTGCACGGGATACTATTGCTACATCCAAAGTGTATAGGAGGACTTCGTCGATCGTATGTGCCTTTTATACTATGATATACTATATCATTCACAAAAACCGCATTTGTTTTGTTAGGACAAATTTTGTTAGTGCAATAGTACTGATCGATAATTATCGGGTGTCGGACAGTATCCATTTGGATATTGTCGAACTTTACACCCGAAACAGACCCGGAACCACCTTGCCATGTCTTGATCCGTACACCATTGTCAGAAAATTTGATGAACGAGTCTCTAACCGTGACGTTTGAGACGCATGCACGTGAGTTTTGGTTGCCTAAACTTCCAATGCTACAAATTACATAGCTATGTTATAATGTGACCTATTATATAGTATTGAATTATAATCACAAGTAACTTTTTTTTTGTTTACCTAATTCCATGCCCGCCCGGTCCACAAGTAAGGTTCCATATATCGATATTGTATGATCCGGATCCTATTGAGACACAATCATCTCCTGAGAAAAGATTTCAAGAATCTTTAATTAGTGTGTTGACAAATGACAGTACACTATGATTGAAGATAGCTAGTGTATATTGAATGTATACCGTTGGAGAAAACCGAGTTATGAATCTCAACAGAGTTGGAGTTATCGATGTGGATGCCGTCAGTGTTGGGACTTGAGGGTGGAGATGTGATTCGAAGGGAGTTGATGTGAACTTCATGACATCCGTCAAATGTCATATGAAACTGTGGGCTGTTTTTAATAGTCACACCTTTCAGACTAAGATTCGAGCTCATGAAGAACCTCAAAGCCTGTCCTCTCCAAAATCGTTACATATATTATTTAGAACACTTTGTAAAGTTAAGAAAAAATATATTTGATGGGTAACTTACAGCAGGACTTTCGCATGGACCAGTAAGTGCAGTCGTTTTGTTGACATTCTGTTACAACATAACATATATTAAGATTCATAGGTTTTACATATTTTCGCCACATGTAGAATATATTTTCACCCTTTTTTTTGTTGTTTTAGAATATTAAATTAATTTGCATGAACTTCGAAACGTAACATGATATACTTTCAATCAATATTCAACATTAATATTCTTTTTGTAATAATTGGATTGAAAAGTTTACCCGGTGAGGTTTGCATGGAAGATCCCACCATTTTTGTCCACGGCCATCGATAACTCCGTTGCCTATTAGGGCCATTCCTTTGATTCGATAAAAGACGAGCCATTGTCTTTTGTTGAAACCGCTCGGCCATGATTCTGGTCCATCCCGTGGCACGATGGTTCCATCGACCTTATTAATTAAATGAAAACCACCAGAAAGTAGAAAATGTTTGATAATCTTTTAGAAATTAAAATGACTTTGATATTTGAAAAAGTTGTACTTGGAAATATTGGTACGAGCTACAAGGACCGGTGAAAATAGTGGAGTGGATCATGAAAATGAAACCGAAAGGTACAAGCAATACGGAGACAGTGTTGTCCTCCTCGTCGTTGTTACAAGCTGAATCCCAAGCTGTCTTGAACGCGTCAGTGTCATCTGTGATACCGTCCCCTACCGCACCATAGTTTCTCACGTCGTAGACTACTTCTTGGTCGTGATGATCTTGGCAAGGAGATGGAGACAGCTGTGACGTGTCATTAGGGTTTGGAGAAATAGATGGGGGGTGAGATTGAGAAAAGGACGAAGACGGTGGCTCTGCTATTGAGTTGATACTGTGTTTGTCGTTGTGATGAAGTAGTCTTGCTTCGGTTCCATAAGAGAATAGAGAGAATGCAACGAAAATTAGTGTAGTGAAACGTTGAATGGGATCACGGGACAGTTTTAACATTTTATATTTAGGGTTATCAAACTTTCTTTTAATGTGATGATTCTTCCTTAATTTTCCAGGATATATTTTGCAAAAGATAGAGATGTATATATGGTTGCACACATATACTGATATTAATTTGAATCTTAAACAAATGTTTTTCTAAATTTTAATTAACTATTTAAACATAACGTTGATAAGCTTATTTGTCTTATGGGACAGCTCAAAGTGCATATGTGGGTTGCCTCATGTTCCTGACAAACCCTTATTTGTTGGAAAATCATTAGCCATAAAGTAAACTGTAAAAATTACCGATACCCTTGAATAATGTATCTATTTAGACATTTATAACATTGTTTGCAACTTAAAGGTTTGACTAAGTTGAATTATTTCATGTGCTCATATATTGTAGCAGAAGATTGTGATTTGTGACGGTACCAATTCACGTGCAAATGATACTACCATAGTGATTGTGATTTTGTTGCATCCTTTCTGTAAGTATATACATTGATATGCAAGATACTGCATGATTATTTTCTGGCCAGCATATGTATTTAAGATTTTTTGAATAGCTAACTATGCATCCCCACTACAGGTTCTCATTTTGTGGGCTCTTTCAAGATTATATGATTGAATCTGTATTTCAAGATTGATGAAAATTGACCTTATTTTAAAACATATTTTTATTTTAATATATTAACCCTGGAGCATTACAATATGTTTTTGTAGACACGTGTCATCACTATGAAAGTTCTTAGAAAAATCAGTTGGTCCATATAATTATATATTATACTTTTTATTAAGTTAAATATCAAATTAATTATTAGTGTATAAAATGATATTATTTCTTTCATTAAATAAAAGCTACAGAATTACTTAATATGATTAACATATATATGAAAATTAATAATTATGAATAGTACTATCCAATAACAATTTTTTTATTCTTC